ACATAAAAAAAAAAAACTTTATCTATTAGTGGCTGCTAGATCAACACGAATATACTTCTTGTTAGTAAATATTGATTAAGGCCCACAAATGAAGATATAAACAAAAGCTAAAATGTAATTTGATGTGATCAGTTGATAGCTACCCCACCTCAAAAAAAAAAAAAAAACCAAAAGAGAGAGAGAGATGAAGACAATTGTAAGGTTCCTAAGTCATTTTCACTGACGATAATGGATGCTAATAGACGAGTGATTGAAAAAAATTGTTTGATTGAGGCCACCCTTTTTGACTGAGCACGGAGAAATTCATCATTTTTCCTTCAACAAATGTTCAAGTGAGAATGCGAAAGGGTAATTAAATCTGTTCACTCAATGGCCGGCAAGTTAATAAGTTAATGCCCCTTCACGATTTTGTTATGTTTCCACAAGAGTTGAAATTGCCTACTTTGATCTGAAATAAACAACTGGTTATGATAAAACTGATAAGGCTGGTGGGGTCTGTCAAGAAATGTTTTCAAGCATCCAAACTTGTGATGGAAAGAGAAGGAAAACAAAGTCTAAGAAAAGATAGATTCCTTTTCACGGAAGGAACTATCGTGCGGGAAAAAGATGCCCTTGTCCACAAGAATCACAATTGAGAAAAGGCTCAGAAACTTCTCAACATCTACCCATGACATTGAAGAGACACTAAATCGATCACTATCTTGCTGTTAAGTCATTTTTCTTGTGATACTGAATTGCTTGTCAATTGTTGAAATGTGACATGGATAATTACGTTGACCCTCCAATGAGGTTTTTTTTTTTTAAATTGCCAAGATCTTTAATTTAACTTAATTCTTAAAGAGGAGTCTTTTGGCTGATTTTTCAGCTCTTCTACCTCACAGTATACCTTATAAATTATTTCAATTATTTCATCATCATATGGTGGTTGCTAGGAGGGGAGGAAGCGTACAGGAGGAGTGAGTGTAAGTGAGAGGTTTCAGATTCAATACTTTCGACTTATACTTAAAAAAAATGGGGTCTGTCAAGAAATGTTTTCGAGCATCCAAACTTGTGATGGAAAGTGAAGGAAAACAAAGTCTAAGAAAAGATAGATTCCTTTTCACGGAAGGAACTATCGTGCGGGAAAAAGATGCCCTTGTCCACAAGAATCACAATTAAGAAAAGGCTCAGAAACTTCTCAACATCTACCCATGACATTGAAGAGACACTAAATCGATCACTATCTTGCTGTTAAGTCATTTTTCTTGTGATACTGAATTGCTTGTCAATTGTTGAAATGTGACATGGATAATTACGTTGATCCTCCAATGGGGGTTTTGTTAAAATTGCCAAGATCTTTAATTTAACTTAATTCTTAAAGAGGAGTCTTTTGGCTGATTTTTCAGCTCTTCTACCTCATAGTATACCTTATAAATTATTTCATCATCATATGGTGGTTGCTGTGAGGGGAGGAAGGGTACAGGAGGAGTGAGTGTAAATGGGAGGTTCCAGATTCAATATTTTCTACTTATATTTAAAAAAAAAAATATATATATATATATATATATATATATATATATATATATATATATATATATATGAGGGGGGGGAAAGTAGATTTTTGAAATGAAGTATAATATTTGCCAAATTTAGCATTGTAGAATCACTCCTTAATAGGCGGAGCAGCAAGTCGGGGAGAGATTCTTTATATTTTTCATTAGTCTTCTTGCAACAATTAAGCAACTACAGAATACTCATACGTTATCCTATCTAACTTCCAACTTTTCTTCTATTCCATATTGTCTATCAACTTTCCTGAATCTTTACACACACATAGCTTATGCTCTTGCAACTTGTATGACACAAAACAAGAAGGGAGGTCATTGTACTTTGGAAACTATAGAGAGACAAAATTTTACGCTGTACTGTAAAAAAAATTCATTTGGTAGCTATAGAACAGTATCACTTGCTACGAAAACGTTTAATGAATAGCATAAAAGTTGTAGTTGAGGCAAATATACCATCCGTTCTTATCATAGAAAATGAATATTACAATAGTTCTCTTCTTCCCTTCCAAACAAGCAAAATAAGAAAAAAGAAAGCCAAGGACAAAATTATCCATGGTGGATTTGAGGCCAATGCACCACCAATTCTTGTAAAAACATTGTCTCTCTTAGGAGCCTGAGTTCTCCTGCAATTTTTGAGCAATCCTAAGAAGATACAACAAAAATTCGATGAAAGAGTCAACACATACTATTGGAGCTTAGAGAGGGTAGCATATGTTGAACAAATCATAGGGACACGATTTTCTTTTTCAACAGATAAAGGTACAAATTTCAAGGTTTGCCTCTTTTAGTTTTTTTAGGCAGGTTTTTGGCTCTATTAGTTGTTTGCCCACTGTCTCAATATAAAGCACGCTCATAAATGTCTGTTTCTTTCATGAAGTGACCCTTGATTTTCGGATTTAAAGAAGCAAAATTTCTGCTAATTGTGCTCACTTAGAAAAGAATAGTAACTGCAGTTAGACTCCATCATAACCATATGAAAAAAGCAACAAAAAGACCATGTTAAATGGAAAGAAATGGAAGCCATTTTTCCTCTGGAGATGGATTAGTTAGAAATGTCACAACTGTCAAACATGGTACGAATGGTAAATTACCTTGAACGGCCATAAACTTTCATACAAGCTCAGTATGAAGAGCTTAAACTATCAGAAACTCTTTTTGGCCTGAGACTTTATTAAGCCAATGATTTTAGAACATCAACTGGAAATTTGATATGAAGGTTTTGGAGTTGAATGCAAATTAGCCCCCTTCAAAAAAATGCCAAAAATCGCAATTTTAAAATGCATCAGTGTCTCCTAACAATCTTTCTATTTTTCCCAACAAGGGTGCAATCCCCATCTCTGACCTCGAACAAATGTTGAAATGTACTATGTGTGATGCGCCTAATGGTGTTGAAAGACTATCATGTCATTATATATGTAGCCTAATACCTACATGTCAAACTCCTTAATTGAGGATTATATGTTAAAAGAAAACATTTACTTATAAATAGGTCTTGAATTTGTTAAATATACATACAAAAAAAGAGAAAAGTTTAAAGATCAATCCACATATTCACCAGTCATACATCATCTAAGTTTGGCCTACTAATGATCTAATCATCTCAAATTACTGTTAGTTTAATCGGTATCATATTATTAATTAGGTTCTGTAGTTCTTCAAATAAGTCATTTGCACCTTACATGATTCAATTAAAACTAATTTCATGTCGGACTTGATGTATCTCATTTGGGAGAATTTGGGGCATGGTGTGGAGGAGGGTTGGTGATTGACGTAATTGAAGGTTTCGAAGGGAAAACTAATAATAATGCATTACTGAAGGGGTAAAACATAATTTACCCTAAATTTATCTAGATACCCAAGCTCTCTAAATATTGTCTAGTTTTTAACCAAGCAATGATCAATGTAGAAGATTAAGACATTCACACAAAAATTATGATTGAGATAATATTGTTGGACATAATTTTGGTGCAAATTTTCAAGAAGTCCTGGAAACAGTTTGTTTCAAGAGAATCACCTAAATTTGGAGTATTTTATTATATATCACATCTATTTCTCCGAGTTGTTTATTTAATCTTTTTGATTCCATACTCAAAATAAAGGGAACAAAACAAGAAAGCAAAAAATTTTTTTGGGGGGAATCACATAAGTTTAACTTATTAACGTTGGCTTGAAATTCTTTTAAAACTTGTTTTGGTTGAAAATAGAAACTTATTTTTAAAAGCAATGTGCTGGCCGGTCAGCACAGGCATCATTTTGTAGAATTTTATTTCACTTGATGATCAACAATTTTTGTTTTGATTTACACCCAGCTGATTCCAAAACATTTAGAATAGGCCTAGAACTAAAAGAAATCGTCTAGAAACTGTACCCTCAAGTGCTTTTTTCTCCTACAAGCTAGATACATGTCAAGACAAATAATAATAATGATAATAATAAAGTACAGATCTTCATGTCGCCAATTAATTTTACAGCTATTTTCTTCCCATAAAGCTTCTGCATTACTTTCATTGATCGGTTCCCGGTCGTATTTTAATTTTCCCTTAAGCAGAAATATACAGGTAACATGAGGTGTTTGATCACTTTTAGTTCATAATCTGTAAGCTGAATTGCTTCGGCAATTAAAAGTTTTTTTTATATTAATTGCATTAGTTCATCCGGATGCTAATAACAAAACCCATTCCTCGAACCCAAAATTTCTGACTAAAATACTTGAGCTTAAATTAATTAACTTCTCTTAGTCCCAATAATTTTTTTTTTTAAATATAAGTGGAAAGTCTCGAAACTGAAATCTCTAATTTACGCTCGCTTTCTCTATATCACCCAATCCATCCTTCTCTCGGATCAAGTTAACTATAAACAAGAGAAGAAAAGAAAATTTATATGTAAATTCTTTCTCTTTCTAATAGAGGGATTTTTCTAGAAAGTAATAGTTATATTTAACTAAAAGTTAAAGAGTCATAGTTTAGTACAATCAATTGAAGCCTAGGACAATAAAATGGTGCCCATGACAACATGGAAACCATCTGAATGTGTACGCAAGAGCTTTTCATGGCTTTAAGCTCATTTTCCTTCCATGTCTTTCCATGTTTGGAGAGAAAGTCGTTTTGTTTTTCACTCCATATCCCTTCTTTATTTACACACATCATTCGCTTTTCTTTTTTCGTTCCCGAGCCACCCATCCAAACTAAAAGTGTTAATTCTATTGAGATTCAGTTGAATTAGAAGATTAAATTCGCCCTTGCTTGATTTCTAGCCCTTCTTCACTCTGATTTCCAGTGTTTTCTTGCAGTAGCATGATTTTTATTGAACTCAAAATTTTTTTAATCATGTGCAGATCAGTTATCAGACAAAGGAATTCTAGATATGTGATAACCATGGCCAATTGCTAGTTTAGCATTAATAATGCCGGTAAAGATTTAGATAAATTCAATAGATAAAAAGTATACTACGTGGACCAAATGATTCTGGAAATAAATTGATGTGTTAAAGCAAGTAGGTTTTCTGGAATTCTTCCTGGTGGATATCTTCACATCCTCAAGGCCTTCTATAACAAGACAAAAGGTGAAGCTTGATATGGTTCAGTGCAGCAAGTGCATATTCTATGTTACTCCTCTCATTTGGAGATTCCTTCGAGCAATTCAGCGCCACTTTCATGATGGATGATATACACTCCAACTCTTGTGTAGAGTACTCTTCATTTGACCTTATCAAGTTCACATCCAAAATGTCCATTATTGCATTAGCTATTGATCCGCATACCCAACCCCTCAAGCTCAAATTTCCATCAAACATTTCATCATTTGGCCTTTTTCTTGTAAGCATTTCCATTAACATAATCCCATAACTATAAACATCGCATTTTGTTGATACTAGTCCTTCTGATCCATATTCTACACAAAAAAAAAAAAAAAAGAGAGAGCTTGCCAATATTAGATAATGTGAAAATCAAACTCCAGTGACCTAGGAATTGTTTTTGAATGACATAATAAGAGTGGAGTTTGGATGTTTGTAACTACCTGGAGCAATGTAGCCCAATGTGGCTAGTGTGTTTGTATGTGTGATGGTCTCCTCTTCACTCAACATCTTTGCTATGCCAAAATCGCTTACATGTGCAACCATATCTTGATCCAGCAAAACATTACTAGGCTTCAGATCACAATGAATCACTGGAGTTGTGTAACCATGATGGAGATATTGCAATGCACAAGCAACATCGATCATTATGTTCAGTCGCTGCATGACATCTAAGGAGCAATTTTCAGAATGCAACCATTTCTCCAGACTACCATTAGGCATGAATTCAAGCACTAAGGACTTGAAATCAGGGTTAGAGCAACTGGTAATGACTTTTGTGAGATTTCGATGGCGTAGATTTCTCAATATGTTGCATTCTGCATCAAAGCTCCTGAATGCTCGTTCTAATTGCAAATTAAACACTTTTACTGCCAAAATCTTACCATCATTTAGAATACCCTTGTAAACTGATCCAAAACTTCCCACACCAAGCAAATTTTCTTGACTATACCCATTAGTTGCTTGTAGCAGCTCATAGTATGAGATTCTTGGTTGTTCTATCAATGATGACAAACCTGTTTGGCTTGGAATCTTAGATTTCTTTTTGTATCTATGGAACACAGTTCCTAAGCCAGCGACAATAACCACAGAAAGCATTCCTGGCAAAATGATTGCAATGAGAACCGTCTTTCTTGTCCGTGATTTGCGCCTGGAAATAGTTTGGCATGGTGGCAAATGGAACCTAGGTGCTCCACATAATGCTCTATTAAAGGCAAAGGAATCATAAGTGAAGTTCGTAAAAGGACCTTCAGATGGAATTTCACCTCTTAAATCATTGGAAGAAACATTCAGGTATGTGAGATATGTAAGATTCTCCATTAACTTGGGGATCGAACCTGAGAGATTATTGTGCGACAAGTCTAAATAATCAAGGCTTTGTATGTCAGCAATTGTGGACGGAATTGATCCTTCCAAGTTGTTATTTGCCAAAGAAAGCTGCATCAAATTTTGTAAATCCCCAATTGTACTAGGGATGTTACCCGAGAAGTGATTCAGTGACATGTCTAACCATGTCACAGCCTTTAATTTTCCAATTTCTGGAGCCAAAGATCCATTGAAGAAATTGGATGTCAAGCGAAGTTCCAACAGATCTTTAAGATTCCACAAGCTAATTGGCACACTGGAAGTTATTTTGTTGAAAGACAGATCAATATGCCTGACGGATGTAATGTTGCCGAAACATCCTGGAATTGAACCTGAAACTTCATTCTGGCTTATATTAAAATAGTTCAACATATGCAAGTTGCAGAGATCAGGAGAAAGAGTTCCAGTGATGATGTTGTTGTGGAGATATAAGCCTTGAAGCTTTCCCAATCCTTTCACAGAAGTGGGAATGGATCCAGTCAACTGATTGTTGTCTAGCCTTAATACTGTCAAATTGCTTAAATTGCCAATGCTAACTGGAATGCTTCCCACGATTCCACTGCCAAATGCAAATATTTTTTCAATGGACCTAGAAAGGTTCCCGAGGGAATTTGGAAGGACGCCATTCAATGGATTTCGGTCCAACGAAATCTGTCTTAAGAGCATGCAATTCGCAAGGGAACTAAAAAGGCTCAATTCTTGAGATGAAGATTCACTTGTCAACTTGTTGTTCGATAGCTGTAGAACATTGAGTTGTCTTAAATTGCCGAGAGACTCAGGAATTGAACCAGTGAATTCATTACTAAGAAGGGCTATGATAGTTAGTCTTGAACAATTTGAGATAGACATAGGTATATTTCCACTCAAATAATTCCCAGCAAGATAAAGCCCTTGCAAATTTTTCAACACATGACACATATTTGGCGGAAGACTGCCAAAAAAACTATTGGCTGAAAGTGACAGAAACTGAATTGTTGAGATGTTGAAAATCCAAGCAGGGATCGGTCCACCTAACCTATTTAATTCCAAGTCAAGGCTCTCCAACTTGGAAAGTTTGCCCATTTCTTGTGGGATGAAACCTGGAAATTTGTAAAAGAACATTAGTCTATTGTTCCAATGTTTCTAAATAATGCTAAGTGAACATTGTCATACCTGTCAAGTTGTTCTCATAAAGATATAGGTTCTGTATCATAGTTAAATTGCCAATCTCTTTTGGTATTTCTCCTACAAAATAGCAAGTTACATGAATCTCTGAATTTAGCGTGTCTGACAGACAATTGATTAATGAAAATATGAACTTTTTCTTGACTTACCTATCAAGTGATTGACGCTAATATCTAGACCCTCAAGAATAGTTAAATTCCCAAACTCCTGTGGTATGAAACCAGTGAATCCGTTGCGGGCCAATGACAATTCTCGAAGTGATGAGCATTTACCTATGTTGCTTGGAATCTGACCGTATAGTTGGTTCTTGATTAGGTAAAGGAATTCAATCTTGGGAAGATTGTCGCACAAATTTTCTGGAAGAGTACCGGTTAGGCTATTGTTAGCTAGCGAGATGTAGATATTGCAGCTTTGACATGTTGAATATGCTTGCTGGTATGATGCCCACAAGATTGCTGCTTAATACCGAAAAAGTTCTCAAATTGGGAAGACTAGTTATCTCTTTTGGAATATTACCTGCCAATTTCAACAGATTTCTTTCAATTCAATTAGACTGAAGACTAAAGGCAAATAGGAAAAAAAAATCTAGAACTGCATATACTAAGAAATCAAAGAGGGCTTTTTTTGTACTAACTAGTAATATTATCAATTTATTTAACTCATTATATGATCTATTCTCTTTGGGTTGGATTTTTTAGAAATTTTATTGTGTACATATCATTTAAAACTAATTATGGTTGGGGTGCTTTAGATTGTTATTGAGGTATTTTTAAAGAGGGCCTTGGATTCACCAAAAAAAAAAAAGACCCAAAAGTAGCGAGCTCGATTGTGACTAGTGATGGAATTTACCAAAAAATGGTGGAAAATGGCAAACCACCTTCTCCTTCCAGCTCCTTGTAGCCACCCAAGCCCTTCTGTGCTCATCTAGAGTTGTAAACTAGTCAACCTCAATTCAGTTACTTATGAGTTTGCTTGGTCAAAATTCAAGTTCGAACTCACATTAACGAGTCTTGAGTTTCAGTTGAGTTTCGAGTGGCTTAAATATATTAACAAGTTCGAGTTTGAGCCATATATACAAAGAGTCTTATATATGAGGATCGATAGTTTGTAAAGTTTAATCGAACTCAGTAGAGTTTCAAAAATTAATAAATATATAGAGTTTGAAATGTCTATTTTATCCTTTTTGAAAATTGTATTAAATATTAATTTATATCACTTAAGCTTAATTTGACTCATCTAAGATCTAGTGAACTCAATTAAGCTAATCCAATTGAGATCAAACTCGAGTTCAAGTAACCTAAAATTGAAATGGACTCGAGTTCAAACTCAACTTTTAAGAGTTCTAGGAGAGTCGAACTCGACTCAACTCAATTGCACCTTAGATTGCTCCACTTCTTCCCCCCTCTTCCCAATAGTCCCCCTCCCTAGTAGTGGTAGGATTAAGGGGTTAGCAGGGTTTGTTATTGTTAGAGGGGAGGAGAGAGAAGTGGTGGCAAGTGGCAGGGGAAGATTTGGGATAGGATGACAAGGGAGAAAAATGGTAATATAAGAATAAGGGCTACATATGTGTTTACATGTTGGTGTATTTTTTGGGTGGTTTTTTAAAATTATTTTCTAGCGTTGTTTTTGAGTGTTTTTAGGAGTGTTATCATGTATTAAAAGCATGTTTTTATGGAATTGGCAATCCAAAGAGGATTTTATTACTGGGCATCGCTCCAGTGGCCATTATAGGCCTCTTAGAGTAAGTCGAGCATTAGATTGATAATTCAAATCCTACCTAGTGTTCATAAGGAAAGCATTAAGAAAAACATAATGCTTTTCTTTTGGACAAAAAAAAAAAGTGTAGTAATGCACTTGTTCAATCTCGACCAATTTCTTTCCCTCTTACCCACTTTCCTTCCGGGCCTCAAATAGCTTAGTTATGTTTTCCCCTTCCACTGCTGTATAGGAATAGGTCAACAGTCTTTTGTCAAAAAAAAAAAGAAAAGTTTCATTACAAGTATTGTCAAAATTGTGATATAAAAATTTAAAATTCTGAAAAAAAAGGAAAATTAAAATATTAAGAAACTATAACGTTCCCAAAGAAAAAGAAAAACTAGCAACTTTGACAGAATTCCAGCAAGTATGAGAATGTTAGCAGGATGGAGGGACTTCAAAATATCGTCCCCGTGTGAAAATTGCATATTTTAAAGCCAAAAAACTGACCTTCCAAGTTGTTCCCGCCCAGATATAGCTCCTCCAGCATTTGTAAGTTCCCAACTTCTCTAGGGATGCGTCCACTAAACTCGTAAGAAACTAGAAGCCCTTTGAGACTCGGAAGATTGTTGCACATGTCAACAGGAATAATGCCAGACAAGTTGTTCTCTGAAAAATCTATGACTCCCAAACCGGAGATATTGAAGAGAGGAGGAGGGAGAAAGCCAGTAAAAGAGTTGTTTCTTAATGAGAGGTGTTGAAGTTTCTCCAAGAAACGAAACCATGACGGAATTTCTCCCGTGAAATTGTTGTGGCTTAAAGAAATAAATCTGATTCGACGCAAATGAGCCATCCCTTCTGGCAAATGGCCATGAAAGGAATTATTTCCCATGTCAAGAGAAACAAGAAAGGACAGGTTTCCAAGATTGGAAGGGATACTTCCTGCAAGACCCATGTTCGAAATATTTAAGGCTCTTACTCTGTGGTGATGAGTATAGCTGCAAGTGACACCAATCCAGTTACAAACAGATGAAGAAATGGACCAATTTTTGGCTAACATAGAGTAAGGATCTGAAGTTATATGATCTTTCAATTCAAGGAGGGCCATTGTATCAGTGCTGATGTTGGTCTTGGCTAGGGAAAAGCTAGCTAACATAGAAGTGGCCAACAGAAGGGCAGAAATGAAGTAGCAGAAAACTCTCTCCATATTTGCAACCAAGTTGAGAATAGGATCACTTGCAGGAAAATATGGTGGAACTACTTATATTGTGAACTTAAATTCAACTAGTTTATTAGAACATGCACTTTATGCTTGCATGTTAAAGCATGAAATTATTTTATAGTTGACTTAATATTTGTTTCAAAATGCTTTAAAAAAATGTCTTCTAAAACTAGTGAGGATTTAGAATATTTTGATTATTTAAAGTATATATGGTATTTTGAAAGATCCATGTATTTTGACCCATGTATTTTGACATATTCATGCTTAATAATTGAGTGGATTTAACATATCAATAGCCCACTTATGAATAGTTTAGATGATACATTGCATTTGAATTATTGTAAATAGTACCATAAGAACGCTCTCCTCTAGAACTTCTCCGTGGGCTATCTTTCTAGTATTAGTCAATTTTTTTTTTTTGCTCAAATTGTTTGTTTGAATTTTTTTTATTTAATCGAGAAAGTTTTGATATAGTGATTAAGATTGAACCTTCATGATTTAGAAATTCTCGGTTCCGATTTTCCTTTTTGCCTCCCCATTTCTTATATCTCATGCCTCCCCTACTAAAAAAAAGAAAAAGAAAAAGAATCCTTTTATTTAATTTTTGGTTGAATTTGAATTTTTTTTCATATTCACTTAAGTTGAATTTCCAGGATTTATTATCAACTAACCAAAGAAACCTACGGAGTCCAGATTTTTCTATCAGTTGACCAGCACACTATTCCTTCCAGAACTTGTAGCCTTTGACTTGGGTTGGCAGCTAAGTAAGGTTACTCTTGAGTCTTGACCAGAAAATACTCGCACATAAGTTTTCAAGTTTGAATGGCAAATTTCAACCCCTCAATTAACGTTGCCGTTGATGCCAGGCATCCAAGACTACTACATCAATCAAAACCCAACCAAATCCATCTGCAACATTTTCTGCAAAAGACAAAGTGAGTACTGTATTCAGAAGTGATATGTGCAAGAAACGACCGTTAACCAACTTCTCCAGACGAATGCTTGAATTTCATCTGAAAATGGCTAAATAATTGTCTAGTGCTTGAATATCATCGTATGAAGTAACATTATTCATCTTTGATGTGATTATGGTTCCTGTGATTATGAAGTAACATTAAATCATCGTATGAGTAGGATTCGAATCAAAGGTATTGTTTATTAGTCAGAGGAATTGGCTTAGTTGTCTTAGCATTTGCAGCAAAATTCATTCTTGAGGGTGTTCAGGAAACTGGCATGCAATGGACCAAGTTTTATTCGTACCAGAAAGTCATCACAAGTGCAGTGGCTAGTTGGAGGAAAGTCCCAGGTATGAAGTTGAAAAATGACTAGGTTTGTAATAATTTGTTTTCCTTGCCACAGCAATAAAAATTGAATTACTACCAAAATTTTTTTTTTTAAATTCATCTTATATTTATTGTACTGGGCAAAATGTATGCCAGCGGCTACGGAAATTTTCGAAAATTTTATTTCGCACATTATACTAATTTTCATGTCAATTGACCCACTAAACTCTTAAAAGTAAATAATTCTATCATTTTGTCTATTTGCACAGTTAAAGGAAATAAAACTCTAAACATGGGAGCCTCACACTGCATCTGTGGTAGCACACAAACCTAATCTAGCAGCTGAAATGAGATTTGAAAAAGTTGATCAGTTACTGGTAGTTTGATTTTTGGGAAAGATTCAGAAGATTATAGAAATATACTAGCAAGAAAATGACTAGGTTAAAGAAGCTATATATCTTCTTTATTAAAAGCAAAATTTCCCAAAATTAAAAACCGTAAAAAATGTTATATCTTCTTTATGACTATCAGCATTCTAATCATTCGTCTTTTTATCTCATATGTTTTATATCATAAAAAGTGTTACATTATTCTTCCAAATAACCTTTTTTTTTCTAAAGAATCTCCTATCCAAACACTGAAATCCGCCAACCCTTCAAGAATGACATCCAAACAACTCAGCATTAGAAATTCCCCCAGGCAATGAAAGCCGTTTCGAGCCTTGGAATCACGTGAAATAAGAAGACGTTTTCTAGAGAAATTTCTAATTTTGTGGTGATTTTTAAAAAAATTCTACAAAAGGGGCGATTGTGGCGTGGGATTCATTCGCGAGCTCAAAGACACTATGTATAATTAAATATTTTGGTTTTTTTTGGGAGCGACAGAATTTTTTCAAGAAAATAGTAAGTGCTAAGTGCGATGTCCTAAATGTTTTTTTAAAAAATTTTTCAAATAGCTCGCATTTGATAAGTTTGACCTCCAAAAATTGTATTTAATTTTTGTGTTAGATTTCGCATTTATAAGTATGACTTTTAGAAAAATAAATTCAAACTTGGTAGAAAAAAAATTTAAAATGAAATTTACGAGCTCTAAAAAAATGTACAATTAAATGTACTAACTTTTGATCCCTTTTTATGAAATAAATTTATTTATCAAATTCTAATTTTCCTTTGTTATTAATGAATCGTATTTATTTGTTGACACCCATGAATATTAGTTATAAAAATGTAATAATTAATAGTCATTAATATCTATAACAATTTTTTATTGTAATTTTAGAATTTTCATAACGCAATGCTATTTAAAAAAATTATATAAATCTTGCGTTTTTTACTGTTTACAATTGATGCGAATGTAGATATTTTTAGATGAAAATCACCGGTTACTCAACATTTTACATACTGAAGTTGCTTTTCATACTCTTAATTTAAGTATCGTTTTACGCGAAAGTCGACATTTGTAGATGAAAACTTCCGGTTACTAAGTACAAAAACATTTGGAGTAGAATAACCCTTTTTTATTTTGGTGTATATATACTAAAATTCCCTCTAAGAATAATCATGAGAAAAGTATGACACTTATTGACCATATTAATTTCTTAACTTATAAAATAAGATAAAAAAAAAAGAATTTTCATCAAATGTGCAAAATGTAGGCATAATTTTGTCCACTTTACTAGATATACTTTCCTATAGATGTAAAAATTATAATCACATAAAAATCATTTCCCAAAATTGAATGAGAAAAGAAGTTTCAAAACTATATATATTTATTTCAAAAGGATAAGTGAAAAAAATTTATTTATTTATTATGGTTAATAACATATATATGTATAAGGTTTTGGAAAAATTTTGACAGAGTGTCCCCTTAAAGTGGACTAAAACTCCCTGCCAGCAACCACAAGAAATACAATTTAAGCACAACAATTATATGAAACACAACTAAAACCACAAGTACCACACATATTTCTCCCCCCACACTTAAATTACACATTGTCCTCAATGTGTAGGGAAGAAATGAAACAAAAGAAGAAAAGAAAAGAAAGAAGTTTCCGCCAAGTCAATGGTTGAGATCCTTATCAGCCACTATTCACGAACCACTGCCCAAATACAAGTGCCTACCAAATAAAAAACAGAAAAAATAAAATGAAGTTAAAAAGCTTAAGTTCCACAAGTTAAGATAATTAGGCAAGCATATCCACCAAATAAAGCTAGCTTCTGCAGTGCGCCATGTCAGTCATCCCCCTCGGCATCATTGTCATCCTCTGCATCACGATTGGGTGGTGGATGAATGCCCAAATGATCTTCAATTCGGCTTAGACGATTCCTAACGTCAGCTAACTGGAAAGCAAAGTTATCGATATGGTCAAAGAGTCGCTGCCAATTAGTCTGCGGTGGAGGAGGAGGTGGTGCTGCAGTAGATGGTCCAACTTCATCCCGACCATGTCTAGCCTTCTGCCTCCGCTCCTGAACAGGGCCTGGAATGCCAATACCAAGGCGGCGAAGAGTAGTGATAGTCATCTCAGCCCGTGGTGGAACAATATCCCGCCGCATTCCTTCCAACTGGACCTCAAAACGCCGGAAGATTAAAGTCAGTAGACGAGGAAATGATAGTTTGAAACTAGTTGTCTTACGCCTCGCCGTAGACCTAATGTGGCTGATGATGATGTTAGGCAATGAAATTCGAGCATATGGAGATGTCCGGTTATGGAACATGTAATCCAAAAAATAGATATCGCTCTTGCGGACCTCCGTGTGGCCCGTCTTCTTTGGGATGACATTGTGAGCCATCATATAAATGATAAGACGATGACGAGGTTCGAACACATTCGCCACTATGGTCTCCTTCCTTGTAGATCGAAAAGGTTGGTACTCAAGACCAAACCTAGCTATGGCCAACGAGGGATCCCATCTCCTATTCGGGGGAACAAACCCCTTCTTCAAATCTACCGGACGTCCGTCATCCATACACCCCAAAATAGCGGCCAAATCTTGACGTGACAAGGTGATTCGTCTTCCACGCACCCAGGACTCAACTATTTCTCCACTATGGCACGCCTTACTTTCAATGTTGGCATAAAACTCGCGCACCAAGTCGGGGTAGTAATAGTTTGGTAGGACTAGAATCGGAGCCCATCCTAGCTGAGCAAAAGAATCTGAGATGTTGTACATCAACTCAACTGGTGGACTGACGTGCATCTCGAACAAAAACTCCAAATTAGCACGCGCCTCATGCCACTCCTGATTCCGGCGAGTGTTGAACCTAGCACTGTCATATACCGAATTTTCCGCTCCACGGGAGGTGCCCTCACCAGGTCGACGGTTAACTGGTGGAGGAGAAGGTGAATTCTCCTCCTCAGTCACCTCCATCTCCTCATTAACTTCCCTCTCCTCACTACTAGAGGATGAAGTTATCACACGCCTTCCCCTTCCCCTTGGCATAGTACCTAAAAGAAAATGTTGCAATTAACCACATGTATTCTCACACAATTCACAAATAGGGAGTGAATATCCTAAAACGATCCAAATAATCTCCAATTTGTCCCTTCAAGTGATAATTCGTCGATTAAGAAATGTAAAGGTCCGAACAAGACGACCCATAATTCCAGCCAAAAAGAGCTCAAAATGACCAATAAAAACAAGATATGGAATAATTGTAACCCAATTTGTGAAAATAGCAACAAGTATGATTATAAATATTTAGAATTAACAATAATAATATGCTTTTAGGTATGATCATGTTTAGGCAAAAATTAAACCAATTAAGAAACCGAATCAACCAAATTACTCACTATACACAATGCACATGCTAAAATATCATCAACTAACCATTCTTAACCATAATTAATTATCACCAATAGCTCAAAAACATCCTAAATCCAGTTTTCAATTTCCCCCAAATATAGCAATTGTAAATTTTAAATCACTACGAAACCAATAAATTGCTACATTAAAACATATAAACATGCTTAAACAATCTTAACAAGCATGAATAAAATAAAAAATAGCCATAAATATCATCAAATTTTCGAAATTAAAAGATGTCAGATAGCTCAGGATAAAAAATATGATTTTCTAAAATCAAAAGATTTGATGAAGAAACTTACCTCAATCACGTAGAATGAAGTTTGGTGATACTAAAAATGTCAAAAGCCCTATGAAACAACCTCCAATTGACCTCCAATTGAAGAAATTAGAGCTTAAGAACCCTAACTTTGAATCCCTCAAAAACCTGATTTTAGGTGTTTAGCTTGAATTTTAATCGGTTAAAAAGGGTGTATGAAGCTCAAAAGGTGTTGGGTTGATGATTTCTAGCAAGATTATGAAGTAAAAATGAAGATTTGTGAGTTGGGTAGAAAGGGAGAGGAAAAACGCGTCTGCAATTTCATGAGAGGAAGAAGAAAATGAACCGAAATCGCGTTTTTTGGAAGCTATATCTGGACACAGAAAACGCGACTTCTGGAAAACGTGCATTCGAATCGCGTTTCAAAAATCGCGTTTTGTTTACAAATCTTGCGGGAATGAAAACGCGACTGATGGAAAACGCGCCTTCCAATCGCGTTTCAATAGTCGCGTTTTGTTTACAAATCTTGCGGGAATGAAAACGCGACTGCTGGAAAACGCGCCTTCGAATCGCGTTTCATAAGTCGCGTGTTTTGCACAAATCTTGCGGGAATGAGAACGCGACTGCTGGAAAACGCGCCTTCGAATCGCGTTTCTTAGCGCGTTTTCTTCATTTTCGTTGCAGAATTTGATACGCGTTTTGATGAAAACACGCCTTAGAAGCGCGTTTTCATGCTTGGTGCGTTTTGTTCTGCAATTTTTTGTGCAGAAAATTCAGTTTGCAAAATTACCATTGGTACCCCAATCACTCAAAATGCATCATAGATCATTCGTTTCGAAAATTTATCAATGTGCGCACTTGTCAAATGATAAAAACATGCATTTTACCCCTTTTAGATGGATGAACTACACCTTTAACGCAAATGAAGGGGTTAAGTGGATTGATTACAGTTCGCATTTTTTAACCTCAAATGGTCATTCTTGCCACCAATTGCCAACTCTATACCACAAAAATTTCAAATTAACTAAAACGCTTATGAAACCCACAAAAGCACACCAAATTAACATAAGGTACTAAAACATGAGTTATTCGTGAAATTTCACAATATATACAAAATGTCACCAAAAAAGATGTGGATCCATATGTTAGGTTATTTATACAATAACGATAGTCAAAAGCATGCCATCAATGCTGCCCAAGTTTTCCATGAGTACCACATGTTGTTGGTTTCGGTATTCTTCGACTTCGACGTGGTTGGTTTGGCACTACTGTATGGCCTTGAGTAATATGTGCCAACAGTGTAGCTTGGTGAATTTGAGCGCTTGTACCTTCACCTCCTTGACATTGCCCCGAAGTATGCTGATGTGAGTCCCTATCGGGCGTAAACTCTGGGAAAGTCATAGGGGATACAGAATGTCCAATCGATACACCTCTCTCGTGCATGATTTCTGTCTGAGGTGTGAGAACAGTAGATGCGCCAGCTTGGTCCTCAGTAGCAATCGAACCTCCATGGAATTCAGTTTGTATGGCGGGATCTGGTGATCGGAGTCTACGATGTCGTCCACCGCCATGCTGACTTCTGCGAGTATTTCTAGGAGCTCGCTGCACACGACACGGATCAGCATATAGCGGAATTTCCTGTGGTACGTGTGGAGGGCGAAATGCAAGTCGGCGTGACTCTCCTACATGATGCAAAGATGTGGATGCAAAGTCGCCTAACTCTTGAAAATATCTACTGTGTTGTTCATCACTAACTGCAAGAGAGTCCTGTGCCATGAAATACATGCGAGACATGGCATCGCTCTCGACAAACAAACAAATCGGGGATAAGAAGGAGATACTGTGGTAAGAAACAGTTAAAAAAGCGAGCAAACTCAAAGTGACGAAATTAAAACTGTTGGGCTGGAAATAAACTTACAAGATATTGTGCCCTAGCGCTATCCCCCTGAAAACCCACTGGGAAAGCGGGAAATCGACTTGGATTTGAAATATAAATCACCGTCCGCTCCCGATACCACTGAACATACTCATCCGATGGATATGTAGTATCTTCAATTATAGTGCCATCTTGTACATGCACACGTCGATCAGTCCAAATATCAATGTAGTGTCCATGCGTAGTGCTCCAGTCTTGATTCGCCCTACCACGACGATCCAGAGAATGTAGAGCTGCCTGATTATCTGTCAGCCTCATATCAGGCAGTGACTGATGAAACCCAAATTGCCGCATAACCCGATGAGGGAGGTGCGGCTCAACCACATCCCAGCAAATAAGATACGTTACGGACCTCCAAATGTCCGCACCTGCAGTACAATACGCAGGAAGAGAAGCGAGAACGTCCTCTGAATAGGGCTGCCATACGAACTGAAAAAAATACAATATCATACTTGTTTCATTTTTTCCTTTGTATAATAATAAAACATTTCAATAAGCACTTTGGACACAACATATCAAAAAAGTGCTAGTCGATTGGGTATCGAACAAATTTTTGAATTTATGAAACAAAATTCGACAGAGTCTCCCCTATAATTGGAGGTTAACTCCCTGCCAACAAACTCAATTTCCATTCAAAATTTGCACTCATACAACTTGTGCTTTCAGTTGACAAGCACTATTATGACAAGGCGACTGGCACAACTTATCACATTCATTAATATAGTCAAGACATATGTACAATACCTCTTCAGGACGCAGGCCTGTCAACTGATCTCGGAAAGCAGGCACAACATGCCTAACAACTCTGTGTACGTCCAAGTCATTATTCCACATATATTTAATAAAATAGGAACCTGTTTAGAACAAATTTATGTTGTTTGCAATACAAGTGTCACCAAAAAAGTAGTATCGGCGAATTTATGTTTGCATCACCTAGCTCCATATGGACCAGGGTAATGCTCCAACGGCGCGATTCGGTCCGGACGCATGGTTGGTATATGTTCCCAAATCCAGAGCTGTTAGAAAATTAGAATCAAAGTTAAAATTGCACTTGTTAATATGACCAAATCACAAAACATATTATTATTGGACGGGTATCGAAACTACCTGTAACAAAACTAATGGACCGGCAATAGCCGATTTGGCAGGATTCGTAGCATCACAAAGTGACCGATAAAGAGTCGCCAAACACGCACTACCCCAACTATATTGCCCAACAGTTTCCAAGTCCCGCAGTAATGGAAGATACAACAAAGGGATTTTGTTGCCGGATTTATCGGACAATAAATGTCCACCTAATATCAGTAAGAGGTAGATGCGCGCACGCTGCCTACATTCGACATCTGAAGTATCGGGTGGCAATTCTGTGTCTAAAGCTCTTGCTAAACATCCCAATTTTAGTCTCTGTCCATCAAAGTATCCAACTGCAGGAGAAAATCCAATGAGCTCCTCACAAATGGCTCCCCACTCCTGAATGCTGCGGTATGTGTCTATCCCTGTAACCGGTGGACCATCGATGTGCAACCCCCACAACACCTCTACATCCTGCAATGTCACGGTGGCCTCTCCAACCGGTGAATGAAATATATGCGTCTCGGGCCGCCATCTCTCGACCAAACTTGTGATCAAAGAATGATCAACCATCTGATATCCACTCTCAAGCACCCCCTCAAATCCAGCCAAGGCAATATAACGACAAACCCGATCAGGAATAGGCGTATGCTCCCAAAATTCTCTGTCACACCGCCTGACATCTAACTGATTGCCCTCAATATGTCCGTAAAAAATAGAATGTGCCCGGTGTGGAGTTCCCGCCGATATAATGTCGTGCACGTATGGTCCTGGATGTAGGCCGGGAGGGACAGGAGTGTCGGCCATAGTGTCAACTGAATATCTGCATCGATTAAATATTGGTAATTACGTATAGTACTTTCCAATAGTTTGTGTATACAATTTTGACCGAACAATCGCGTCGCAAGACTTTTTTTTATCGGGGAAAATGTTGACCATATATCCCTTATAAATCGACAAAAACTCCATGGCAATCAGTTATATTTTTTGCAGAAAATTCGTTATCCCTCTATGTATTCATATACTGCAATTATCTATTTGTAGTCATATGTCAAAAGTTTTACAGAAAATTTGACTAAAATCTCTCCTATAAAGCGGCCATAACTCCCTGTCAATCAAACATCAAAATGCCATACCACGCAAATGCACGAGCATTAACACATATAACACACCATCCGAGAATTCCTGGACACAAATATGTCAACAGGCGTATGGAAAGGGGATGTAGCTATAAATGATAAAACTGTTGGATCACATCAAGAACAAATGAACTAGCACCCTACGTCTAGCTGGATCACATCAAGACCTATAATTCGGACAATTTCTCCTATTGTGACCCGTCTGATGACAATTTCGACATCTTCTTGGTTCGTCTGGATCCCTCTCATCCATCTCATTCCGAATTCTGCTAGCTCGAACCCGCCCTGCCCGACGTGCAACAAACTTACTCCTGTCTGCATGCAACTCCCATCCAGGATGGAGCCAAGTATCTTGATGCGGCAGTGGGTTAAACTTCCCTGAATACTGCACGGCCCACCTCGTGGTGGTAAATTGCTGATCCACAAGCAACCCCGGATTGTCACATCTATTCCTGCACACCGCCAAAGCGTGTGAACAAGGAAGCCTGTAATGCTGCCACTTACCACAAGAGCACGCCTTATCAAAAAACCTGACGGTTTGCGTATTGCCTCCTTTACCATCGACACGTCGGCCTGTGATAACCTTGTATACGCCCGATGGACCATCGAATTCAACGACTCTGTGGGCGCCCGCCTTCTTCTCAGCATTCCTAAACCGACGCCATATCTTTGGGGGAAAAGGATTGCGACAGTGTGAGGCATCTTCCCTTCTCGTCTGGAATAACGCAACTGTCCGATGGAATGTCATGTCAATGCATGCACGAATTGGCAAATGGCGCGCCCCGCGCAAGACATTATTATAACTTTCGGATATGTTGGTAGTTAGAATATCCCAACGATGGCCATCGTCGTGTGTTAGGCACCACTTTTCTGGACTAATGGCAGACAGATAATTCCAAACATCTGGAAACATGCTTCGTAACTCTCTTCTAAACATCCGCCACTTGCGCAATTGTCTTGCCCGTCCCATTGCCCAACACCACTTTCTAAGGTGTAAACTTTTGAAGTGTGTCATCAAATTACTCCTAACATGTCGCAGGCAAAACCTATGGTAGGCCAAAGGTTCGGCCCAATAGTCAAAGTGTGTCATGGTATAGATTATACCATTGTGGCGATCGGAAATGACACAAACATGATGGCGATCAAGTGCCACATTATATCTTAATTGTTCCATGAACCACGACCAACTGGAAATCGTCTCCTCATCAACTATGGCATAAGCAAGTGGCAGAACCTGGTTGTTCGCATCTTGAGTGACTGCAACAAGGAGTTTGCCTTTGTATTCACCACACAAATGAGTGCCATCAACACAAATAACTGGCCTGCACATGTGGAATGCTTCAATAGCCGGTCCAAAGGCCCAGAATACATACTTAAAAGTCTTAATTCGATCCGAACTATCCGAATGATGCGACCACTCCACCACGGTGCCTGAATTGGATTGAGACATGGCATCGAGATACTGTGGTAGTTCGGCAAAATTCTGTTCCCAAGATCCAAACACATGCTCAATTGCTTTACGTCTGGCATACCAGGCTTTTTTGTAAGACACATCAACCTTCAAGTTCTCTTTAACGAAACTTAGTATGTTCTTTACCTTTAATCCAGGATCATCTTCAATGGTACGGAGTATGTGCCTTGAAATAACGGAAACCGTCAGGCTTGTAGTGTTATTTCTAATCATGTCGCCTAAACAGTTATGGTCATTGACCCATTTTGTAATTTGTCACATTCCATGAGTCCTTTTCTTTACGGCTCTAACACACCAGTCGCATGGTGGATACGACGGCGCGGTTGAAGTGGAACGAGTTCTTTCAATTGATGATTTGCATTTAGCAAACCATGTGTTACTCTTACTCTCAATAACTCTGAACTCCCTATTGTGATTGATGGACCACATCCTAACTGCCCGGCTGAGCTGCTCCTTACTCTCAAACCTCATATGCAGACGTATATTATTATTCTCCTCGCTGAATGTAACAATACGCTCCAATCCATCATCCTCTTCGATATCAGCATCATCTATGCTCCCAAGATCGGAGAAAAATGTCATTTCTCTTGGAACATAACTGGAGTTGCCAGCTGTGCTGTTACGTCTGATATCTCCGCATTCTGTGTTGGCAACCCGATACCCAACAAAGGGTTGTTGGGTATCGAAGTTTACTCTTAAACCGCCATCTTCATGCTCATCATCCGAGTCACTACCAGACACATCTTCCGACTCCGACTCTTGAACTTCTTCTGCATCAACTTCCGGATCATTTTCAGCTGAACTTCGACAACCTTACCCAGGATTAGTCTCGAAATACTGTGGAGAAATATGGCATGATGGCCCTGGATCTCCAAAACTTGGAATCGAATCCAGGCCATGAAAATATTCCTGGGAACCCATGGACCCTGATGTGAGCCTTGGTTCTAATAAATCCATAGATCGATCATCATGCATATAGTGAGATGCCGATGAAGTCTCTGGAATGACTGAACTAGAACCGAAGTTAAACTTTGTTGGATCCATGAATGCATGTACAAGCGACATCATTGGACCAACATTAGCTATTGGTCCACTGAATACGCTATTAACTACAGGCATTTGAACGATTCCTTCCTTCTCGATATAAATCTCCGCCATGTATGAAACTCTTTCGATCCAAAGATCGTACATTACATCAAGAGTTTCATCATCCACCACTGCCGAAACAGTATATTTGGAACTCTCCAACGGCTGACGAAGAAACAATTTCAGCTTAAACATCCCTTTATCGACCCCCATACAGTGATAAATCCTGTCAACCAATTTCCCGTATCCAATTCTATGCCTCAAAGTGAATGTCCGGTTGGAAGTACGAGGCAAATAACAAACAAAGTCACCCTCGTAATGTATTTCTCCTCCCCAGTATAGGTTTACCCGGAGAGGTCTGTCTACAGACATCTCTGTAAAATGAATCCCTATTTTGGGGATAATAAATTAGAATTAGTAGTCCAAGAGTCCAAACAAATGAAAGAGAGTGGACTCTAGGTCGAAATTGGCACTATTAAATAGACTCATTTCGATTCCAGATGTTTATCGAAAAATTAAAAACAAGTATGAAATATGCTTTAAATAACGATATGAATAGCCTAAAACTCCCAAACAAATTTTTAAAAAATTTGGATACCGAATCTCCCCTAAAAATTTGGATAAATCTCTCTTTTTGACCAATCCACAAAATAGACTATAACTCCCTGACAACCAATCCAAATAGGGAGTAGTATGAAGTTGTAATGCCACCAATTGTCACACTACATATTATCAAGAGACCCTATAATTTTCAAAATACAAGTATAAGAAAAGTAAGGGAAGTTATATGTATTTGGCCTCCACAGTGACACCGCATAACAAGATCCACATTCACAATGATGTGATATTCTACCAATAGACCTGACAAAATTAATGTTTTTAACTATAGTAGATTTTGCCAGTTTTTTAGGATTATAGATATTGCCAATTACAAAAAATACTACAAAGTTGGTCATTGACTTTAAATCCGTCAATTCGCCTTAAAAGAAATCCGTATTTCATAGTCTAACGCCCTTTTCTATTCAAAGAAAATTTAACAAACTATACTATTTGAATTCGACGGCAAAGCAAAAATAGTTGTAATATAAAATAAGTTACGTAACTACTTGTATCAAATCCGAATGTAGCAAACTTCTGTGGGTTAAATTCTAGAGGTACCAAACACAACCTCCGAAGCTTGTATCCCAACCTTGTTGTATCACAATGAAGAAATAATTTACAACCAAAAATCATTTAAATATATAGAAGTTGCAACATGTATTTGTAATAGACATTTGACCTCACAAAGAAAGATCTCCAAAAATTTCGACAGAGTCTCCCCATAAATGGGCTAAAACTCCCTGTCAAACAATCCACATTACTGTCATTTCAAATTGCACAAGACGTATTAAAGTACTTTAAATCCATCAATTCGCCTTCAAATAAATCCGTATTTCATATTCTAACGCCCTTTTCTACTAAAAGAAAATTTAACAAACTATACTATTTCAATTCGACGGCAAAGATCCAATAGTTGTAATATAAAATAAATTACCTAATGACTTGTATCAAATTCGAATGTATCCAACTTCTGTGGCTTGGATTCTAGAGGTACCAAACACAACCTCCCAAGCTTGTATCCCAACCTTGTTGTACCTAGATGAAGACATAATTTATAACCAAAAATCACTTACAAATATAGAAGTTGCAACATGTATTTGTAATAGTCAATTGCCCTCACAAAGAAATATCTACAAAAATTTCGACAGAGTCTCCCATATAAATGGGCTAAAACTCACTGTCAAACAATCCAAATATCCATGAAATTGAAAAACTCCAATCTATAAACTACATACTATCAATAAAATTTCTAAACTCCAATTGCAAAACATATAATGTCCAATGTAGATAGTGATTCGACCAAAAATAACAGCTACGAAATAGAATTTAAAAACAAAAACTGAAAAGTGGGTACTTGGCACCCAAATTTGGTACATAACCCTTGCCCCCACATTGAGTATTAGAGACTTTGTCTACTATGTGCTTAGCATTCTAGACAATTATTTTGTACATAAAAATAGTCATAGATGATTAATTATTATTATTTTAAATTACACAAGACATATTATTTT